TATATATATATATATATATATATATATATATATATATATATATATATATATGTGTGTGTGTGTGTTTGTGTTAATTTTGTAAACCTAAACTACTGAAGGAATAAGTAATGAATGACACAAATGAGATACTGATCTCACGTTTGTTCGCCATTAATAAATGGTGGCGCATCTCACGTAGCGACTATATCTGATTATGATTTGTACTTCAGTCGTTACTGAGTTATTTGTGCCCCTCAATTAAACTGTTACCCCCATTAAGTAGTGTATGCATACTTCAGAGTGTGAATAAATGACCTGCAACGGATTGGCATCTCATTCAACCTATCCTCTGCCTTCCCAGGCTCTTATAGTAACCATGTACTAGAATTGTTTGACAAATGGATGAAGATTTTTCAATTCAAAGCGAAGACTAATCGGTATTGTTTTCACATTCGAATAAAATTTGCAAAAATGTAAGATCATTCTTCACAATGAGAATATACTCATATGCCATTACTTGTACCGAACAGCAGATACTGAAAAGATGACAAGATGAATTTCAATTTCAAAGGACTAATGTCAAATAACCCGACATCATCCGAAAGAAGTCGCAGATCTGCAATATAAACGGATGGACCGTGAAACTGTCTGTTCGGCCATTGTCAAAAGGCATATTGTATCCTTCAAAAGCGAAGGGACTTTAGCCACAAATTAAATAAACTAAATATCGCTGAAAGGCTGAGCAAGAAGGCAAGACGCTGCACGCGCAGTTAAAATGAAAGAAGAAAGTTCCATCTTTTACTCCATCGTCTTAAAATCTTCCACGTCCAACGTTAAAAGCTCTTATAAAATATGATTGCCATAACAACTGCAGCAACAGCAACTGCTACTACGGTCAACAAAAGACACGTCCTCCCTATTTGCCCTCACCACCATACAGGTGAACAGGTGACTGTATTTTGATTTCCGCCCAGATGCTCCCGTGACAATTACCGTATAGCACCAAAAAGACGTGACACATACAATCGAGAATACGATGAAAACATACACACACATATATGACTGTAACAGGAACTTTAAAACATTCCCGCTATCGCTGACATTACAGCCTGATTGTAGGCTGCATCAGTCCAGAGGCGGAACAGACGCAGCACCGGAAGTAAAACACAGTGCAGACACAGGAACATGCTCCTGCCTAAACATAAAAATAACAGTTGTCATTTACCTGTTATCACTGTGCCTCTTACAAACTGGTTACTTTTACTAGTTATGTCTCCAGCTTTTTAAACTGACGTCCATGTAACAATAATTGTGGGGAACATTTTAGCTTCCACAATGTCGAGGTGCGACGTTTTTCAGAATCAGATAGCCTCCATTATAGAGGTACTGGTAAGAGCCGCGGTGTCCGAAATGAGGAAAGTTATGGGAGAAGTTTCCAGTAAATTAGCGCTGGCGTCTCTCGCGGCTGGAGCGACGGGCAAAGAGTCCCCGCTGCTCGCGGCGCCGCGTGAAAGTGAAATTAACGCGGTGAGTCAGCGCGAGCCTGCTAGCTAGCCAGCTAACTGGCTAATGGCTTCCTTAATATGTTTTAGAATGAGTAGTTTCGTGTCATCGGGATTAGTTAGTTATAATCAATAATATGAGAAAAGTAACACACAAATAGTTCAATACGTCATACCTCTAGACTTAACACATAGGAACGGTATAATTAAGCGATGGTGGAAACTAAGTAAAGTTTATCAAAAGTAGACCAGTGTTTTCTCTACGTTTGATGTATGCATTGATTTATTCAGTATCACTTTTCTGAAATGTCCTGTCAACTATATTTAGATTTTTTTTTTTTACAGAAATAACAAGCCTGAATATAGAATAGTTTAAACGGCCAGTTCATCTATTGATCTTAGAGTTAAAATTAAGTGAAATTTAAACTGGAGGTTAATGCTTAAAAAATGAAATCTTATTTAAAACATTCAACTTTGTACACCGAGTCGTTCTCTTTTGAGTCTCTCTGTTTTGTCAAGAAACTGTTTATTGTTGAAGGAATATTGATGCCCAGTACGTTTTAGTAGCATAATGATTCTGGGCCTTTCCTTTTTAAAATTAATTATGTGCCTTCGGTGTTTCCTAACTCTGCAGTGCTCAGCAGCAGGTGATCGGTGTGCTTAATTGCTTTATTTTCAGGCAGAATTATTGCCAGTCATGGAGAGGCTGGCTAAAGAAGCAGTGAAGAAAATTTGCTGCCTTGTGAATGAGGACTCTGCTGTGTTACGTTTGGAAGTGACGCAAAGCCAGAATGAAAACGAAGCCTTGAAGAGAAAATTGTATTTGATGGAGGAGGAGCTGAAGGCTGTGCAGAGATGTGTAGATGGACAACCAGGAAAGCAAGAAGGTCTTGTAAGCAGCCCCTGTCTGAGAGCTGAGCTTGGTGCTCAGTTAAAACGGTCTGAAGGAGGTTAGAAACTACAGTTTCCCACTATTATTGGTGTTGCTTGTTTGATTATTAGGTATTAATTAAAATATTTTAATCCCTTACATCCCTAAGGTTGTGGGTTCAGTTCTTGCCCCCTGTTCCATGTATGTGGTTTTTGCTTGGTTATCTTATGGTTGCACAGTCCAAAAATGTAAAGTGAGATTGTCCATACCCATGTTAGTGTCAGTTTTCTTTTAGGTTCTTTGATTTCCAACCACAATCAAAATATGTGAGTCAGTTGGTGATTCTAAATTGACATTTTGTGTGAATTTACATAGTTATTCCCTCCAAGTGATTGGCAGTCTTAATAAATTTGTCATGGAGTAGAATCCAAATCATGGCGCTGTGCTGAAAATGATACTTAAAACTCATGGAGTAGATAAATGTTGAACTTGTTTATTGGCCTTTTTCAGAAAACTGTTTTTCTACCATCAGTGAAGGAAGAGAAACTGCGTCTTCCAATTTGGAGAGGAGAAATGCATCATCTTTCATGATGGATGAGGTCTGTTCAAGTTGCTTTCCTCTAGATTTAGATGGTGCCACACGTGTTACCACCAAGTCAGACGCCATATAATTAGTTGGCTGGAGTTCTTGAATTGTTTGTTAGAGATTTAGTGTAAATTACGTTGTCTAAAGTCCAAGAAATGTATGATTTGCCATTACTCAGGATGAAATTAAAATGTTCTTAAGTGTGCCATTATATGAGCATTTCAAATAACAGTGGAATGACTGGTTGTGTATTTTTGCACTGCTATTTAGAAACCAGTAAAATATTACGTTAATCTTTAGTGTTGGGTTTCTTGATACATAAACATTTTCAATAATGGACCATGAGAATAAGAAAGATTTCATTGGTCTTTTTGCAAGAATAACATAAAGTACAGTCAGTTGTAAAGAAACCTTGTAGCACATTAGAACAAAAATATCTTTTGAAAAATACCTGAAGCTGATACAAAATCACACTAAGCATTCTATAAAATACTTACTTTTCCAACAGTTGAAACTGAATTCATTACATGGGTTTGGTTATTACACCTTGTGATCATGTGGATTTTTTACATTTAAAGTTACTGTTGTATTACGTCTTAACTCTACAGTCTGCAGCTGTTGAATTAGATGGGATGGAATCTGTGATAATCAAAGATGAAATATTTGAAGAGGACTTTGGAAACACCACTTTGCACAAAGGACAGAGGATCAATGGAAGTGGTAAGATTCCAATAACCTCTAATAAAAATGAAGTTGAACAATGAACAGCTTTAAATCCCTTTTCAAGCCACTATGTTTGTTTTTTATCATCTCTGTAGGACCAGAAGATTTCAACTCTGATCCTACAGAACTTCTCCTTGAACCTCAGGAATATGCTCAGAATGGTGAAAATCCTAGGAAATACACAGAGCAACAAAGTGCACAATGCATACGAGAGGAGTTAATAGAGAACCCTGAACTTAAAGATGGAAATAAATTTGGAGAGTATTCAAAAAAGGTAAACAATGTTACAGCCAGCAGAAAATGCAGCAAAGGAGAGAGACTGTTGAAACGCACACGCTATGCAAAAAGACATTCCCAGAAGATACAGCAGTCTGCTCCTTCAGTGGACAAACCTTTTAGCTGCACGCAGTGTGATAAGGCTTTTGCAGTGATGCGCAGCCTTAAAATACATCAGGCGGTTCATAAAGGTCAGAAAGCACTGAAATACACCTGTCTTAACTGTGGAAAGGGTTTCAGGAAAAAAATGCTGCATGAAGAACACCAGAAACTTTGTACAAGCGAGAGAAATGGTTCTGGTCATAGTAATCCTAGTAGCGAAGAGGTGATGCCCAAATCAGTGAATTCATTTGTCTGCACTGGATGTGGGAAGAGTTTCAGCCAAATACATAGTCTCAAAGCTCACCAAGTTGTTCATTCAGTTGAGAAACCATTCAGCTGTACATACTGTGGAAAAGGCTTTGCCGTAAAACACAGTCTTACAGTTCACCAGAGGATACACACGGGTGAAAAGCCATACAGTTGTGTTACATGTGGTAAAACGTTTTCTCAAGCTAGTCATAGAAAAATGCATAGCAGAGTTCATACAGGAGAGAAACCATTCACCTGTGATATATGTGGGAAAAGCTTTGGTGATACCAGAGGTCTTAAAGAACACCAAGTCGTTCATACAGGTGAGAAAGCTTACAAATGTGAGAAATGTGGGAAATGTTTTAGTCTTGCAGTTAATCTGCGAAGACATCATCGGATTCACACCGGAGAGAAACCATACAGCTGTGATATATGTGGCAAATGTTTCAGCCAAGCGAGCAATGTTAAAGCACATAAACGGATTCATTCTGATCAGAAGTCATATACAGGAGAGAAATCATATTATGAAGACAAACCTTATAGTTGTAGTAAATGCGAGAAGAGTTTCAGTCATCCAAACGGTCTTAAAACACATCAGTTAACTCATACAGGAGAAAAACCATTCAGTTGCACTGTCTGTGAAAAGAGTTTCAGATGTCTCTATTCTCTTAAGACACACCAACGATTTCACACGGGAGAGAAACCATATAGTTGCGTTAAGTGTGGAAAATGTTTTGGTCAGACAAGTGCCCTTTTGTCACACCAAAGGGTTCACACAGGAGAGAAACCCTTTAGTTGTGACACATGTGGGAAGTGTTTTAGTTTTACAAGCAGTTTTAAAGCACATCAGCGAAGTCATACAGGCGAGAAACCGTTCAGTTGTGTTATTTGTGGAAAAAACTTCAGTTTTTTAAGCAATCTTAAGAGGCATAAACGTATTCACACTGGAGAAAAGCCATTTAGCTGTCATATATGTGAGAAAAGTTTTAGTCAAGCGAACAATCTGAAAGCTCACCAGCAAATTCACACAGGTGAGAAACCGTATATGTGCGACAAATGTGGCAAAAGTTTTGCATATTTAAGAAATTTGAAGGAACACAAGTGTGTTTATGGCTGATAAAATTTAGAGGGAGAGCATCAGTAATGTGCTATTGTTGCACTTTTGTCATTTAAATTGTTGCACTATTTCATATGTGAAAACAGTCATTTGCAATCACTGGTTTTAATTACAAAACTTAAAATACTATTAAACTTTGCAGTTTTCAGCAATTTTTGGATTGTCTTTTTCAGGTACAGTAATATGTCTGACATGTTACAAGCAACAGGTGTTAAAAGCAATAAGTAATTGATCCATTTTTTGTGTATTACTGCAAATAAATGAGGAATGAGGAGCTTACTTTTATATATTCTAGAATGCCTATACTGGATCAGAGGACCCCGAATCTGTCCAAAAAGACCCCTGAATTAGAACTTTCTGGCAAAAATTTTTTTTATGACATACAAAAATAACCACAAATGTCTACAAACATATCAATGGTATGATCTATATGATTTTCCACATTGCTTAAGTCAATATTAAATTTGGATATTTTTCTGCAGTTTGAATCTTGCTAAAATTATTGAGCAGGGGTGGTCAATCTTATCCGCAAAGGGCCGGTGTGTATACGGGTTTTCGCTGCAACTCCCTAATTAGATTACTAATTAGAGGACTGATTGGCTGAGGAGTCCTCACACCTGGGTTTGAACAGCTGACCTACAGGTTATCCCAAAAACCTGCATACACACCGGCCGTTTGTGGATAAGATTGGCCACCCTTGTTATTGAGTATGATTGTTAAGAAGGAGTATAAAGGAAGTTAACCAGCCTTTAATATATTGCTTGGCACTATGCAGTGGTTGTGTTTGACTTTCACCCAGTACCAATTCATTGCTGGTAAGAAAGTGTAGGTTGTTTGTTAAAGCCTAGCTGTTTAAATATAAATTATCAACATATTACAATTAATTCTATGTGACTTCTGCATGCCTAGCCTTTTGGTAAGTGGTCTTGCATGTGTTCAGCTCGGTCATCTGGTGAATATTATGTTTTCATAGGGAATATACCTTCTTGACCAGCATGAGAGCCCCTTCAATTGGATTTCCGAATAGCTTATCCTGGTCCCAGTTTAGCCAGTGGGGTAACGTACAATGGATGTTGAGTAATACCAGTAATACCAAACCACTCTACTGGTTCCTCACTCATTGGGTAGAAGGATTATGTACCCTCAGTTTACATCCCCAGTTCACTGAACATATTAGTCTTAAACCATATTATGAAGCCATACATGTATGTCAGGGTTCAGTAGCTCCCCCTATTGTACACATGAAATGGCATAAGCATATCCAATCAGAATGAAAGATTGCAAACTACTTGTCTTAGATTTACACTTATGCAAAATGTTATGGCCATTGACTGCAGTGCGTCCTGAAATGACAGAAAAAATTATCAGATAGTGATGATAGTTGTCTATAGAGCAAAATCTACAGATTTTTGTAATCCATAAAAAACTAAATATTATATACATATCATATACAGTATATGAAATGTATGTGTGTGTGTAAATTTAACATTTAATCTCAAATTTTGGGCCTTAAAAGGAGCTTTTATTTTGAAACATGGAGACTTTATTATTACCGGAAGTGCACTTTGTATGTACTTGTATTTCTATCCTGGAAGTGTAAATGTAACATATCCGGCTTACTTGCGGCCGTACGTTTAAATTCCCGGTCCTTTGTAGTTTTAAACTTTGAGAACAAATTCTAAAGTGAGTGTAGAAGCGTACTTTGTAAACTGACCCGGAGAGAGAGCATGTCGTCTTTTCAGACGCAAATAGCTTCCATCATGGAGATCTTGGTCAATGCGGCCTTGGCTGAAATGAGGAAAGTTGTGAATGAAGGGTTTGGCGTGTTACATCTCGAAAGGTGTCAGCATCACAATGAAAACAAAACGCAGAAAGGGGAATTGCCATTGATGGAAAACGAAGTTAGAGATTCTTTAGAAACCGTAAGCGAATTAAGAATGGTAAGTTTCCGTTAGCAGAAGAGCAAAAAAGCGAGGTAAATACTATACGGTTGGGATGATGATGATTATAGTCCTTATTCTGATGGCTACATGCTATTACTAGATTAATTAGGACTGGGCGATTATCGGCATGGCTATTCCACGTTATAAACAGGGTTACTAATAAAATGTCATTGTAGAGATAAGTTAAAGAACCAAATCGAGACATTAATTCCCTTGCCTTTATTTCCCTAGTATCTTTTAATTTAAGATTCATTAAATCCTCTTATTGCCTGTGTACCAGGTTTATTCTTAATATTGTCGTTAATAATCCAACATCGGCGATTGCGGCGTTTCCCTGAAAAACTGAATCACGTGGCCGTGTTGTAACGAAAGTGCCTGTGAAACGACGTTATAATAGTAGTCCCAGATACACATGTAATCAAAAACTAACAGTTAATGCACATTCTGCAGGTTTAAGCACCTACATCCCACAATGGACATCCCCAAAATACCCTTTTTTTTTATAACAAAATAGATGCATTGATTATGCTAATTTAAACCCGTTCCGCTTAGAAACTTCACCTCCACTGAGCACTAATCTAAGTAATTTTCTATTGTTATATAATGAGATTTACGTTCTTGCGCGGATGTCCAAGCAATAAACTGTGCAGCTTTACAAAGCATTTATTTTATTCGTTCTGTAAACCCAATTTCTCTTACTTTGTGTCTGAACCAGTCATCTAGTTTAGTATAAATAATATGCTCATCTTTGGTATTCCACACATCCTGACAATAATATAGGATACAATTTGTGTCTGTAATAATTAAGCACACCCTGAAGTGTGAGGTCCTGTACTGATAAAAGTATGACTAAAGTAATTTCAGTTATTTGTACTTTTTTTTTAAAAAAAAAAACCTTTTTCGTTCAGAAGGCAGATTACTCTTCCAAAGTACTCAGAAAGAGGCTTGTTGATGTGAAATGCAATTCAAATTGAGTTTTGTTGTGGCTTTGTATACCAGATCTAAAAGCTTAAAAATATATTGTGTTAAGTTTTATATGTTAAAATGTGTGCTTAAGGTCATATTACATTCTCTTATTTTTTTTAGACCCAGTTAGCCTCTATAATGGGTATTCTGGCTCAGGAGGCAGTAAACAAAATTTGCAGTCTTTTCAGCAAAGACTCTGCCATGGTACTTTTCGAAGTGACAGAGACACAAAATGAAAATGAAATGGTGAAGACGAAAGTACAGACGATGGATCAGGGGTTGAGGATTGTGCAAGGAAGTGCGGAGGAAGTCGAAAAATGTGTAAACAGCCTTTCTGTCGGAATTCATGTTGGCAGTGAATTAAGACCAGCAATAACAGGTTAGTGGCTGAGGTTTCCTCTTGTGTTCAGATTTATTCTGACTTTCAAAATGTTACCTACACAAATTCTTTAACTTGTACTCTGCATATATAATTACATGATAGTTTTTGTTTAATTGTAAATTTCTACATTCCTTTCCACATTGTCTCAGAGAGGGAAGGTTCTCCCATCATCAGTGGGAACAAAGACACTGAGTCTTTACAGGTGGAGGAAGAAAATAGTACTTTTCAGACTGTTGTCATGATGGATGAGGTTGGTTTGAGCATGTATTCCTTAAACAAATTTTTTAAATGAAAAATATATATTGTCACCAACAGGGGTACATACAGTATATAGTACGTCCAGCTCATCTTTAAACCAGTCCATTGCAAAGAAAGAGATTAGGGTGATATGATTGTTCTATCTTGTGTAACTGCTCTGTTTCAGTTTGGGGAGGTGAAGGACAGGATTGAGTCCATTATCATCAAAGAGGAGGGGCTTGAGGAATGTTTGGAAAGTGGTGTTCCAGATGAAGGTTTGAATATCAGTGTGGAGGGTAAGCAGATGGTAAAATACTAAATTGTCATCCCACTTTTGTGCTTGAATTGACCTCTGTTGATATCTTGTTCTGCTTCTAGATCCAGTGAGCATGTACTTAAGTACAGTCAGCCTATGAATCAAGGGTTATATTTACATGTAGAGAGAAGTTACAGTATCTCTTTAGACTTTTCTTATTTGCTTGATAGTATGTAGAGTGTTTAACTTTTAGGTTTTGCATGAGGTATAAATGTGTGCAAACTGTAATCAGACTGGATTGGCCATCTGGCGTACTGGGCATTTTCCTGGCTGTCTGACGGGTTTGTTGGCCAGCAGAATTAACGGTGGGGGGGGGCCCCAGGGACGATTTTTAATCCCAGTCCAGCTCCGGGCTGCTGATATTCAAAGTTCTTGTTTTTTGGGAAGAAGTATGTCACGAATTAACTTGAGTAAAGTTAAAATTTGATTTGGTTTTAATTTGATCATATTTGTATATTTTGGGGAGGGGAATTCTTGTAATTGGAGATTTTTATGACAAGCAAGGTGTTGGTTTCACTTTTAATATGTTGAGCCTTGATTACTCATCTTTTAAGTTTGTTTAAAAGTATGTTTTGACATCAGCAGCATTTCTCTAGTTATTTGATTGTAAATGACTTTGAAAAATTAGTTGCATATACTGCTTCTGCAATAGGCATTGACTTTTATAAGAAAGATTTTAAATTCGTAATTATTTAACTGTATTTCACAAAATATAAATGCACAATTAAACAAAGATATTAACATATATTACAAAATATAATAATAAATAACCATATGTATTTCTTGGAACATTGGGGTCTCAATTCATTTTTATTCATTTAATTCGATGAGGTAATAAGGTAAAACTATATGTTTTAGGTTGCTTTTAATGGTATCTGATGGTGACTGATGACTCCTTGATTCCTAGACTGTAAAGCATTTATATATGGCAGGGGTAGGTAATCCTGATCCTGGAATGCCAGCATCCAGCATCCAGCAGGTTTTCTGTCCTACCGGATGAGTTACTATCTGCCTGAGATCAGCAGAGGTTCATCAGAGACCAGGCAGGATAGAAAACCTGCTGGATGCTGGCACTCCTGTATCAGGGTCGCCTACCCCTGATATAAGGTGTGTTGTGGTTGGTGTTATAACTTGTAACTTTGCTCTCAACACGTATTTCTGTAGTCTGTTTAAAGGAAGTCGAGACTAATGGTAGTTTTTGTGGTTTTTTTTCCCCCCAGGAGTTGTTGAACTTTGTACTGAGGAGAGACATCCGATTGATCATCAAGAGGGCGAGGAGGGTTCCAGTGTTAGCCCAAGCCTAGCCGAGGGAGAGCATGTAGAGTTTTTATCTACGCACTCATATTTCAGTATTAGAAAACCCCTTGGTGGTAAGGATACCCAGAAATCAAAGAACAGCCTAAAAATGGGAGCCAGAGCTGAAAGGGGAAAGAAACAGTACAACTGCACACACTGTAGGAAGAGCTTCGGGAGGCTAATTGATCTTAAAGCGCATCGGATTATTCATGCGGCAGAGAAGCCATTCACCTGCACCCAGTGTGGGAAGAGTTTTGCCCTGAAACGGAGCCTTAAAATGCATTTCTTAATTCACACAGGAGAGAAACCGTTCAGTTGTATCGAATGTGGAAAGTGCTTCAATCAGAAAAGCCTGCTGAAACAACACCAGAGTATTCACAAAGGTGAGAGATTGTTTAGTTGTGATATCTGTGGTAAGCGTTTCAATCGTGCTTATGGGCTGAAAAAACACCAAATAGTCCACACAGGAGAAAGAGCATTCCGGTGTGAGATATGTGGGAAGAGTTTCAGTATCGCAGGTAATCTGCATAGACACAAGCGCATTCACACAGGTGACAAACCATTTACCTGTCCTACGTGCGGGAAGAGTTTCAACCAGAGTAATACTCTTAAAGCCCACCAGCGAATTCACACAGGAGAGAAACCGTACAGTTGTATAACATGCGGGCAAAGTTTCAATCAGAAAAGTAGAGTTAAAATACATCAGCGAATTCATGCAGAGCAGGTGTCTGGCAGTTGTAGTTGTGTTGTTTGTGGAGTTAGTTTTGGTTCCATGCGATCTCTTAAAGCACATCAGCAGGTTCATGCAGGTGAGAAGCCATACAAGTGTGCTGTGTGTGGAAAGTCTCTAATATCTACAAACTCCCTTAAAATGCATCAGCAGATTCATACTGGGGAAAAGCCATACAGTTGTACTGTATGTGGAAAGGGGTTTAGGGTTGCCAGTTATCTAAAAATACATGAACAAATCCACTCTGGGCAGAAATCTTTTAGCTGCAATCAGTGTGGCAAGAGTTTTACTCAACAAAGTAGTCTAAAGACACATCAAAATGTTCACACGGGAGAGAAGCCATTTAGCTGTGATATCTGTGGGAAGAGTTTTAGCATTCTAGGCAATCTAACTAGACACCAACGAATTCATACAGGGGAAAAACCATTTAGTTGTACTCTTTGTGGCAAGAGTTTTAATCAGGGCAACAGTCTAAAAGCCCATCAGCAAATTCACACAGGAGAGAAACCATATATGTGTGACAAATGTGGAAAGAGTTTTTCCTACTTAAGAAACCTTAAGGAACACAAGTGCCTTTATAGTTAACTTTTGTACATTACATGGGAGATGTTTGTTGGCCAGTTGGTTCATTTGAAAGGCACCACCGAGCTTAAACACGGAATTGCTTTGTGTGCTAAATAGATGGGTTCTGTATGTTTGAAATGAAGCATTTTTGTTGTGCAGAATCACATTAATATTAATCCACAGCAACCAAAGTAGTGTGACATTCCCAGAGTGTCAGATTTGAGTGGAGGGTTCTGTAAGTGACGACCCATGAATTGTACTGAGCACGTCATTTTCAAGACAGGCTTTCAGCTGATATTCCATTGATCATCTGCAATGGAAGTTTCTGTTCATTGATGTAATAAAGCATTTTCATACATTTGGTAGAAATTCTTGCACGTGTGTATTGTTTCCTACTTTTCTTACATCTGACCAGTAACTGAGCTACCCTGATTCTGCTGTAATGTTCCATATAAACAGATAATTCCAGTAACACCACTGTAGACCAAAAAACTTTCATTTCAGGTTGCGGTAACATGACCTTAGTTGTGGCATTTTCTACAATTTTCAATTTTTTCTTTCTTTATATAAAAATGTGTAATCCTCAAAGACCTAATGAACTAATACGTTGATTCCAATCCAAATTCTGCAGTTTCTAGCATAACAATGTCTGTAAGTCCATAACTTTATCACTTTGGAACATCTAAATCCCAAATTGTATGTGTACTTTCAATTTAAAGTTTCAGGTAACAGTTCACCTCAAATGCAAATTAAATGCATATCACATAGCAAAATTTATTTTTGTTTAATAGATGTGTTAAATTCACCTTTACTATCAATAAAAATAAGTAATTATTTTGTAAAAATATGGGAAATTGCTCACTCCTTAGTAGAATGAACAGTTGTTCAAAAATAGATGTTGAAAAAAACAACTGGTACCCCCTCTCTCATATTTTGCATATTTATTATGGGGTTGAAGTCAGCCTTGAGCCTGTTCCAGAAAAGGCGGGGAATATCCTGGATGAGATACCAGTCTATCGTTGGGAAACATACACAATCACACATATGAGCAATTTAGAGGTGCCAGTTACTGTAACTGCATTTTTTTGGAGCACAGAATTGGTACCTGGAAGAAATGCTATGCACTGAGTTACTATGGCACATAAGCTAAAATACATTTCTCTTTTAAATGGCATAACATTAGCAAAATAAATGTCCATCCACCCATTATCTCCCGCTTATCCGAGGTCGAGTCGCGGGGGCAGCAGTCTCAGCAGGGAAACCCAGACTTCCCTCTCCCCAGCCACTTCATCCAGCTCCTCTGGGGGAATCTCGAGGCGTTCCCAGGCCAGCCAAGGGACGTAGTCCCTCCAGTGTGTCCTGGATCTTCCCCGGGGCCTCCTCCCAGTGGGACATGCCCGGAACACCTCACCAGGGAGGCGTCCAGGAGGCATCCTAATCAGATGCCCGAGCCACCTCATCTGGCTCCTCTCGATGTGGAGGAGCAGCAGCTCTACTCTGAGTCCCTCCCGAATGACCGAGCTCCTCACCCAATCTCTAAGGGAGAGCCCAGCCACCCTGCGGAGGAAACTCATTTCGGCTGCTTGCGCTCGCAATCTCATAAGACGAGGGGTGTTTTTCAATATGCATATTTCACCATACTTGTGTACTCGGTACATCATCATCTTTTGCCAAAGTACAGTTCCAGTACTCAAGAACAGAAGTACAGAAGGCAGTAAAAATCCACAGATGTTGTTCTTGCATCTGTCGCCTCCTTGCTACTGAGAACAGTCCCATGATTCATCGCATTCCAAGTTCATTCTTGGGAGGCAGGTTAGCAAGACGACTCTCACAAAGAACACAAATATGATCTTTGCATTCTTGGTATTGTGAAACACCACAGGTTTTCATGGCCACGACAAGAATGCATAGTACCTCAAAATTTGAGAAATTACAGACGATGTTTGGTGACATAGGTGGAGACGTCCATAAGATGGATTAGTATCAAAGGAAACTTGATTGTTTGAGAGGAAGGAAAGGTTATGTCATTTTAATAGCAATGATATGAGAAGCCAGGAAACCAGTTGGTGAAGCCCAGGTTTTTAACATGTTTAAAAAACATATTGACCAGAAATTTTATCAGAATCTGTCGTCACTTCAAGTTAATGCAACAATGAGATTTCCTTTAGCAGGATGGGCACCAAAAGGCTGGGTATATTTCTTGTCACATACTTGAAATTACTTCAACGTAGTGTTCTCAGTGTGAAAGTCCCTGTGCCTCTGATCGGAAGGTTGCTGGTTCAAGCCCGGCTTCAACAGAATGGCCACATCTGTGGGCCCTTGAGCAGGGCCCTTAACCCCCAGCTCTAGGGGCCCCGCTGCAGGTGGCTGCCCTTCACTGCCAAGCTTGCTCGCACCTACATGTGTGTCACGGAGAGCAAGATGGGGTAGGTGAAAAGAGAACCAATGAAGTGCTGTTGTGTTGGGGGTATGTGAAGTGGTGTCATGGGGTGTGCACTCTGCATTTCATCCAGAGTACGTCCTGGCATTGGCTCCGGGTTTGCCATGCATTACTGCATTGCATAAATGGTTATGGAAGATAGCTGAATATATATTTTGTGAAAAGTCAGCATTTAGTCTATTTGTTTAATTATTGCAACTGTCAACATGGTTGATAATATAGGATCAAAATAGGTCAAAATGCAGAAGCCATACAAGAACAGGTTAGTCAAAGGTTAGTTGGGGGCAGCGTGTGGCTCAGTGGGTGACGCCTGTGATCGGAAAGCCACTAGTTCAGGCCCAGCCTCAGCACATCTGCGGGTCCTCGAGCAAGGCCCTTAACCCCCAGCTCCCTGGGCGCCCCAACAGGCAGCTGCCCTTCACAGCCAGCTTGTTCTCACCTAGAAAGAGCAAGTTGGGGGGGGGGGTGTAAAGAGAATTTCCCCACGAGGATCAGTAAAGTATCAATTATTATTAGCTTAGTTAGAAAACCAGTATATACAAGTTCAAATTCCCAGCATACTAAATATGTGTTATAGAATAACCTTTTGGTGACAGTCATTTCTCAGTAAATGCAATCCACACAAGTCCAGCAATATGATGAGAATCACAATGTAAGGCCGAGTGGCATAGATGGGATGAGGAGCTTTTCAAGTCTGTTCATCAACCCATTAATACCGTCCACCACAATGACATTTATATTTAGCACTGTGATTTTATTTTGGGATTACTTTATTTGCTTATTTGACTCATTTTATTCTAATTTGTTCTCATGTGAATCAGAATTTAGTCTTGAGTACAAAGCTTGCCTATGTTAGTCATGTCCCGTCTATTGAAGGTCGTTTATCGTAAAGGCTGTGACTAAAAAACACGTAACTAGGTGTGGCTACAGCTACAATCCATAGACTGGTGAGTCACTGTAGTCTAATGTAGCTAAACTGTGAGTTGTCACTGATTTATAAATATGCAGCACTGTTCTAAAGTCTTAGACCACCAAAGAAAATTAAATTTAAATGATTTTTATTTTGGTGTAAAACTATGATTTATGCCTGTCGGAGCATGTCGTCTTAACCGTCTCAATCTTCTCCTCAACTCATCCCAGTATTTGCAGTTACCACCCAACATACCCTCAGCATTTGTTCGACTCAACCAATCGCGCGCCTTGTCTAGCTAATCAATATTCCTTTGCTTTCCCTGGAGTTCTGCAAAAAGCTTAAACTTTTAACCGACGTCCATCCATTTATTGAGCTAAACATTTCACTCAAGAAATTTAGGTAGTATTTTCCTATTTCCCACTTCGGAATTTCAGGTTATAACCATGATACCTGTGAATTACTTAAATAAAAGGCGATTTTTATATTGCAGATGTAACTACTCTCTACTCTGTGGGCTGACCACTCTCAGACCAAACAATACATTTTCCCATAATGAAAAAACACATCAGTAGGAGCCTAGCTGTAAATATTTGTGGCGGAGCCTTGCAACAACGGTGCGGAGGGGGGTGCTGCTTACGTACTGTACTGCCATCGACACTGTAAACATAGACTTGTCCAAGGATATCTCTTGCCATTTGTTTAAATCTGTTTGACATCCAAATAATAGGAAGAAAAAAACTGTGATGTTTAATTCCAACCATCTGCGTATGCGGGACACTTTATTTATCTGACTGTCTCGCTGAGAGGGGAAATCTAGCTGGCACGCATTGGGCTGTATTCTTAGGGTTTGCTTATCTCGCCAGTCATCTCCGCTCTTCCTCTTCTATTTGGGGAGGCCTGTTTTTCTCACAGGGAAACACATTCACTGGATTGATTCAAATTATTTTTAAAAGCCTACACAACAATTTTCACCTTTTCTTAAGTCTAACCAACTGTGAGATAAAAGTTTAATCCGTAATCTTATTGAGGTGCGCATGTTGAATTACTCTCAAGTGAGAATATTATATGCTGAGTCCCTCTCTTTTGTTGTTTGTTAGATATTAAATATTGTAAAATTTTGTTTGCAAATTTTTTTTGTCTTCATGTTTATCAATGAAATATTTTGTGTTCAAAATATTTTCTTGTTTAAAAATAAACAGATAATAGAGTTAATAGTTAATAGATGCACTATAGGCGATGCATAAATACACTTGAAAATCTGTTTTATATGGGCTACTATGCGAAATCATTCCGAACAGAAGATATTATGCTGAAGACTGACTTTCAATAGCTAGCCTGCAGTAGTGTTATGAAATAGAATTGTTTTATTTTTTTAGTAAGACTGCACTCTTTCTAAGAGCAATAAGATGCAATAAACAAATCATAGAAATATTAACCAAAATATGTATTGAATACAAAATTACTCTCTGGTACTAATTGTACAAATGTGTTTGGGCAGAAAAATTACAATTGACGTTATCACAGGAAACGAAAACAAAGAGCCATATATATATATATATATATATATATATATATATATATATATATACACACACACACACACACACACACACACACACACTCTAGGATGTTATGTAAAGATAAGAGGAACAACAGGAATGCAGAGCTGATATATTTTTTGTCCTCAAGAAACACTGCTTGTGTCTTTAATATGCATGCATGCTCTCAGAAGGAGTTTAAATGCGAAATTACGGATTATGTTAGCAAACAGATTTAATGTCTGAGGTCATTCTGGTGATCAAAGCTGACATGATGCATGGATACACAAAGAAAAATGTGTATGTTGCAGGGATACAAACTAGACACTGTGAGCAACATTATGTCTTTTAACCAGGTAGAGTTGGACTGGGATTATAAATCGACCCTGGACTTTGGGGCACCCCACAGCCCCATGGTAAATTTTGGCGACCAGGGTGGAGGGCTGGGGGGAGTACATGATAAATTTCGCCAGCCCACAAACCCAGCAATGCGCAGGGAAAATGCCTGGTATGCCAGATGGTCAGTCCAGTGGCTGTACAGTGCCTGCCAATGAGCACAATCACCATTTTAGCAGTGCGCTAAAAAATAACACTGTGCCATCCATCTCAGTGAAGGCAGGCAGGAGGGCTGTCTCCGGACGTGAACACAACAGCATCAAAAAACGGTGCTATAAATACCAGTGAGACAAAAGTGCACAAGCTTCAGTGTAGCACCGGGTGGGCAAACGGACTTCCTCTGAAATGATGTGTTTACTATGAAAAAAGAAGGAATACTGAATGAACTTTCTAAGATTGTGTAATTCATATCTCCTTTTATGTATTACAGGACTGCAACAAAGTAGCATTTTAGCTCATTTTTTGAAATTTGAAATAATGAATAACTGTATTTGCCTTAAGGCTGGTTCTGTACATGCATTATGTCTAAGATGCTATTACAGTGTTACAGAAATGTCTCTTAATACTGTATAAGTGTGTGTGTTTTGTATACATATATGTATAATAATAATAATTTAAAGATATACAATTTATAATAGCATGTAATATATTATTGCCTGTATAGTGCCCTGTGATGGATTGGCACCCCATCCTGGGTTGTACCCTGCCATGTGCCCATAATTTCTGGGATAGGCTCCAGACCCCCCACAACCCTGCATAGGACAAGTGGGTGTAGAAAATGGATGGATGGATTATATTGCATAATAACATATTGTATAACTTTGTCGAAATATACGGTAAGTGAAAATATCTGCAAGGTATCATTGTCAGATTTCACTAAGAATATTCCAAATTCATATTCAAATAAATTCAAATGATGAATGGAACCAATGGATCACTCTGACAATAAATACTAGGAAGTTGTCTTTAAATGTGATTTATTAGCCGAGCTAGAGCCAACTCTCAAACTATTTTGCAGTTCAAGAGTTAAGTTTAGGGAAAACACTGTTACATTTGACTCTGAGATATGCCGATGGTCGCTCACCTCCAGCTCTTCGTGACCTTCTGCTCCATTGTTTGTCTGAGTTGGTTGTGTTCTTCACTCTCCTGTAGACTCAGGAAGAGGTGTTACCTCAGGTTTGAGTTTCCTGTAAATATCTGGGTTCACTGAGTAACATCATACCTCTCTTATCAAACAAAGCATATTGCCTCCTTCATTTGCGTCTCTACACTGAACTCCTGAACTGGTTATTCAAAGACCGTCTGTCAGTCAGAGGGACTGCTGCTATGACACCTAATTTCTCAGTGTCCAGAAGGACACAATATTTCAAAAGTCAATGTTTAAAACACTAACAGCACAATTAAGTTTAATATATATTCTTTTCATAGTTATAATTTCTTAAGTGCTACAATATAAATGTATCTATAGTGCATTACAAATGAGAGCTTCATAGAGCATTCATAATGCATAATAAACATGGCTATAATGTGTTATGCCTTTTTATAAATTTTTTACTCATGTTTATAATACTTCATGAATACATTATAATGTGTTATGAATGTGTTCATTGATTCTTGTAGACATGACATACATAGAAGGTGTTACCAAACTTTATTCTAACATAAATGGAAATAGAAGCATCCTTAGATAGCTTCTGGTTAATAATTGTCCACACTGGAGAATTAGTGATAATAATTAAACGTGTCATCATTTCTAAAATTGTTTTTTATAATTTGTTTAAAGTTGCAAAGATGTAAACATAGATATAAAAGATGTAAAGTTGTAAACATCTTGAAGCATTATAAATGGCAATAAATAACACTCCCATCTGGAAAACAGGTGTGCTTTAGTAGAATTCTTCCTGCTTTGTTATGATGAAATATCTAGTAATTAAAGGTGTCAGAAATAAGTTTGAATGAGTTCAAGATATCTACCGTCGCTGCCCTTTTGCTTATCCGTACGCTCTCGAGGGACCCGTGGGCCATCTTGTGTTTATAAGAAAAATTCCTTCCTTTGTTTACCTTCTCCAAGACCTTCTGACGTTCTCCAGCAGCAGAAATAGCAAAAGACATGTCACTTAGATTAAAACAGCTTTCCTTTACTTGACAGCAGTGCATCCTGAATACCACCTTCCCCAAAGAAGGTCAGGAAGCAGTGATAGTTCTCTCCCCCTGCATGTCCTCTGCTCAGTAGATACAGGGCCTGTCCTCAGAATTTGCTGTTACATACTCAACCTTGACCTAGAAAATCTATCATGTAAACTGTTGCCATTACTTCTAAGTACAAAACTTTTTTTTTTTCAGAACATCAACATTATCAATCAAGTAGACTTTTGTTCCATTTGTTCAGAATCGGGCGACTTTATTTTCTTATATGATTATCTTTATCTGACCTCCAAGCCACAAGTCTGGTCAAAAGTATATTTTGATAAGCTGGAAGTACTAACTTAATTAAATGAATAATAAACCACCTATTGTTTGATGAGAACAAAAACACATAAAATATGTAAACCATCTTTTTGACCTGACAGTAATTCTTTAATAAAAATGACACAAGTCAGCATATTGTTTATGTACTTATTTCAATGTTATCATTTTGGCCTCTGTATGGTGGGTTTTTTAATGATCCACAGAGCTGTGCTGTCTGTAATTTGAGCTCTGGGTAGGGCTTACCTTGGCGAACAGGTCTGTGCGAAGAGACCAGACCAGCTACCATTCAACAAAGACCCCCAATGAAAGATGCTATCAGGTTTACCCTGCCTGGAACTGGTTTAGAAACACCCATCCCTGGAGCCAAGTCCTGGGGGGACTTTCATTGGTGAATTGGGCTGCCCATGTGACCCAGCCAGACATAGCCGATAATGGCTATTATGGGGCTACATATATAAACCCTTATATCTGCTGCCCTTCCCCTTCACTTTATCGTGAAACCCTCCCTCTGTTATTGCAGTCCTACTGTACGTTGCACTGTAGTCCTGGGAGAATGCTATTCTGTGCCAGTTTATACCTGTGCATGGATGGTATGACTATAAAGCCCATTTGACTTGACTTGAGCCATCTTGTGGGCTCACCACCTGCAAAATGGAAGGTGGGGTTTAGTGCAGTGCCATCTGAGTGGCAGGCCAGTGTGGGTGGATGGATGGATGGATGGATTGAGACAAGCACAGAAAATTATGGTAGAAAAAATCTGAATCCCAGCCCCAGCTTCTCCTCTTAATATTCAGTTTTTCTCCAGGTAAAGTTCTCCTTTGGTGTGAGGTACTTTTTTGTATGTTCATTTTTGAATATATAAGTAAACTCATATGAGGTGAAATTCAGTCATTTTTAAATTGTCAACCAGCTACAAAAACGCACACCTTCTGCGTCTATATATGGTGTTGAATGACAGCATGATTAAAATGTGAATAATTTAATTATGTTTCTGATTTGTGACGTATTTGCAAATATAGCTTGATGAATGCTGAGAAACACTGGATGGAAATCGAGGCCTTTTTCATGATCTGCAAACAGTCTTTCCATCACGCACACATCCATCTCTTAGCCGCTAACCTAGCACAGGGTCACAGGGGGCTGATCCCAGGAAAGACGGGGCACAGAACAGGGGAACACGCAGAACAGGGGAACATGTAGAACAGGATGCCCTTCCCACATTTTTTGTTAAATTACATTTTTGTGTTTTTTTTTTTGTAAATGTTTATATAATTATTATGTTTTTGAACAATGTTTTCAGCTGAAAAATAGCTAAAACATATTCCCTCAAAGACTGATTTCTTACAGAAAATTATGTGTTTTATTGTAATTTCAATAGTGACAATCAAGGAGCGACAAAATGAACAGGATGTCATTCGTCTGCGCATTCATGTGCAGATATCTGCTGGTGTTCTGAACACTTTGGTCCTGTGGTTTTTGAAGATGTGCTGAACAACACCACAATGTCTGCAGATCTGTGAATCTGCAATAAACCACACTGGCATCCGCATTTAGGCTCTAAAAATGCGATCTCACCCATTATATTCTTGGTTTTCTATTGAAATCGACTTAACTACCAAAGGACCAGCGGACTTTAACAGGGAATTAAAAGTAACATAGAAAAAGCATGCATTTTAAAAGCTTAGGTTTTACAGTTAGCAACGCAGTTTTGTTTTCTCAACTTACAGGTTACATGAGTAATGATCTACAGTATGTCATGAACTTAAAAGTCAGAAGCCCAGTATAGTGCCATGAGGAACGCCATCGTCTGCGATGATGTCACAGCTGTAATGCGCCATGCAGCTCCACTGCAATGCCTTGAGAACGATGAAGGGAAAAGGCCTGCCTGCGACAGGGATGTATTGACAACAGAGCATTTTGGATGGTCTTGCAGCTTTAGGGAATATTTCTTGACCCAACTGCTAATGTACACTATTGAGCTGCAGTTGCAGTCCCAATGGTTCCCATCCAGATGAATGGCCCTGAGTTTCTTTAGAGGCTCCAGTGTCCCATTTGCCAGGATCTTGAGGTGGTTGTTTTTAAGGAATAGCTCGTGAAGGTGGTTAAGGTTCTGAAAGAGCTCAGACGGAAGCCACCTAAGCTGATTATTATCCAAGTCGAGGTCGCGAAGCCTTGCTAGAGGAGCAAATATACGTTTTGGCAGCGATGTCAACTGATTGTTATTGAGGAACAGCTTTTGAAGATTTACCAGTGAGTAGAAGGTACCATGCTGGAGCTCCTTAAGGTGGTTAAAACTCAGTTGCAGCTCCTTGAGTTTTACCATGTTCTTGAAATTGTCTGAGCTCAGTGTGGTTAGGAAGTTGTTGTCTAAATCAAGGATTTTAAGACTCTGAAGGTCTTCGAGTAAACCCATTGGGAGCTCCCTTATTGAATTCATGTTAAGTGTAAGCTCTTTTAAGCTCCTGAGGTCAGTGAACATTGTGGGTTGGAGGAATGTCAATAAATTGTTATTCAGCTGCAGTTTCCTGAGTTTCTTCAAATTATTAAAGACATTACTAGGGAGAGATGTGATGCTGTTATGATCTAGCTGCAGTGCTTTGAGATGACAGGTTTTCTGAAAGATTTTGCTGGGAATGGTTGACAAGTTATTGTTATCCAAGTAAAGACGCTTGAGTATTTTGAGTCCAAAGAACAGAGACGGAGGAAGGTTTGAAAGTTTATTGTTATTCAGCTGCAGTTCACTGAGCATATTTGTGTTTTGGAAAATTTCAGGAGGTATCTGAGAAATGTTGTTGCTGTCCAGGTTCAGTTCCTTAAGCATTGTTAAGTTATCAAACAAACCTACTGGAAGAATGCAGAGCTCATTATGGTAAAGGTCTAATATTTCCAGTTTGTCCTGTGCTTGGAATAACTCTGAAGGAAGGGACTGAATCTTATTGTAACTCAGATCCAGCTTACCTAGCTGGAATAAACCTGTTAGGGCACTTTCAGCTATGCTTATGAGGTTATTGTTGCTCAGATCTAGGGTCTGTAGTGACCTCAGACTTGCAAAGGCACTTTCTGGGATGCTGTTGAGAAGGTTCTTTTGCAGATACAGGCTTTGCAGTTGGGCGAGATCCTTGACAGCAGCCACTGGCACAGACACAAGCATGTTGCTGCTAAGATCCAGATGTCGTAACTTCACTGCACCCTTCAGTGTTCCATTTCTCAAACTACTAAGCCTATTTCTGGCTAAAATTAAATGTGTTAGATTTGTGTTGTTTTCAAATATGCTCTCCTCCATATTCTCTGTTGTTGTGATGTTATGTGGACTTAAAGTGCTAAGGAGGTTATCTTCCAGATGGAGTACCTGAAGATTTTGAAGATTTTTAAGCAAACCAGCTGGGAGCCTTTCTACCTTGTTCATATTGAGTGAAAGCTCTTTCAGACCCTGGAGGCTGAGGAATAAGGTGCGTTGGAGGATGTTTAAGAGATTGTTGTTGAGTTTAAGCGTCCTGAGATTGCTCAAGTCTTGAAAGATGAAGGCGGGAAGACTGCTAAAGTAATTATGCTCTAACCGCAGCTCCAAGAGGTTAACGGTTTTATTGAAAATATTAGGGGGCAATTTGGAGATTTTGTTAAATTGCAACTGAAGATCCTTTAGCATTGTCAGGTTGCCCAACAAAGTGTCTGGCAGAATGCTTAGCTCATTATGGTTAAGCTTCAACATTTCTAGTTTGTTCTGGTCTTGGAATGAATCAGGAGGAACTAACTTAATCTGATTAAAACTGAGATCCAATCTGCCCAATTGAAACAGTCCTTCTAGGGCTCTCCCCGCTATGCTTATGAGGTTATTATTGCTTACATCCAGGGTCTGTAGTGACCTCAGACTTGCAAAGGCACTTTCTGGGATGCTAGTGAGAAGGTTGTTTTGGAGATACAGGTTCTGTAGATGGGGGACATCCTCGAGAGCAGCAGTCGGAACAGATGTTAACTTATTCTTGCTAAGGTCCAGATGACGCAAGCTTACACAACCCTTCAGTGTTCCATTGCTCAAGTTATTGAGCTTGTTTCTGGACAAAATTAATTTGGTCAGAGCTGTCGTTTTGTCAAACATGGCATTTTCCAGTTCCTCTATACTGATTACTACTTGACCAGTGTCGACTGGGATTAGAGCGGTCAAAACATTTTTGTCCAAATCAAGTAACTTAAGATTGTGCAGGTCTTTAAGTAACCCTGCTGGGAACCTCTTTATCTTATTTGTATTTAGGTAAAGCTCTTTCAGGCTCCGGAGGCCAGTCAATAGAGAGGGGTGGAGGATAGATAAGAGATTGTTGTTGAGTTTCAGGATTCTGAGTTTTCTCAGGTTTTGGAATATGGTGGCAGGTAGAGAGCTAATATTGTTGTGGTTCAGCTGCAACTCCTTTAGGTGTTTTGTTTTCCAAAAAATGTCAGGGGGAATGTTAGAGATTTTGTTATGCTCCAGCTGAAGTTCCTTTAACATTGTCAGCTGGTCAAACAAACCATTGGGCAGAATTTTCAATTCGTTGTGAAAAAGTTCTAATACCTCCAACCTTCCTTGATCCTTGAATGTGCCAAAATGAAGAAACTGAAGTTTATTGAAACTGAGTTCCAGAATACCCAGTTTAAACAATCCTCTAAAGGCTCTGTCAGCTATATTACCCAGAAGATTATTACTTAGATCCAAGGTCTGCAGTGACCCAAGGCTTGCAAAGGCATTCTTTGGAATACTGGTGATACGGTTCTTATGGAGATAGAGACTCTCAAGTTGCGGGGTATCCTGGAGAGCAGCCACTGGTATAGACGTAAACTGATTGCTGCTAAGGTCCAGGTGACATAGACTCACAGCACCCCTCAGTGATCCATTTGTCATGGTCCTGAGTTTGTTCATGGACAAAATTAATTTTCTCAAATTAGTGGCATTCTCAAACACGCCCTCCTGCAGCTCTTCTATGACATTGCCACTGAGATGAAGTACAGAAAGTTGAGAAGCTCCCTCCAGTGCCCCAGGGTACAGACTGTGGATCTGGTTCAGGCTAAGAATGAGTGTTGACAGGTTCTGCAATCCCTGAAGCGAACCAGGCGGCAGAGTCTGAATGTCATTATCACTGAGATCCAGTAGAGTAAGCTGAGAAATATTGAAATATTGCTGCCGGACTGGGAAAAATGCTTTCAAACCATTAGTCTTAAGAAAAAGCTTTGTGAGAGCCCTCATCTCTGGAAAGACAAAGCTGGAAAATACCGAAGTGTTGAGTTTGTTCTTCGTAAGATCCAAAACCTGCACTTCTTCCAGTCCATGGTTTGGAAGAGAATGGATTATGTTGTTAGAAAGGTAAAGATGTTTGGTTTCAGGTGGTAGGGGTGGGATCTCTGTGAGCCCTTGGTCTTGACAGATGACAGTGAAGTTTTCTACACATTTACACTGATCGGGGCAAACTGCTACCACTGGGACTAGAGCCAGAATAACACTCAGGATTTCCAGCATGATCAAGCACTGCAAAGAAAGAACATGGTCATTTTAGAAAAGAACAGAACAATATAGTTAATCCCTACATCTTCCAACCTCTTAGCCAGTATAAGGAGGCCATGGAGTCTATCTTAGAGTACATAAGGCACAAGGAAAGCCTAAACACTGGTTGGGATGGAAATATAATTAAATTAACTCAATTTAATTTCCATTCATTTTACACAGTTGTCCCATTTTCTTTATTAATATACAATGTTTTACTTGGGTAAAGCTAAAGCAATAATTCTGTTTATATGGATAATCATCTTAAAACACTGGTTACTCAGCTCAGAAGACAACTGCTATATGAGTTTTGAAAGTATTATTTTTATACCAATAAATAATGTCCTATCAGTAATGCAGATTCAGTTGCCGTTTTTTTTTAATAGAGCGCAGTACATATCAATGTACTAAATGCAAATTCTGTTTGCATTGCAGAATTGCCCAGCCTAGACAATAAGGATGCATCAGTTACATTTTCGGCAACAAAAACAATCCCATGGCTTAGAAATTGCTCCATAAATGTCATTATATGACAGAAAAATAGGGCAATAAGCAAACAGCAGTGCTGCGCTCTAGACCTTGTGTATTAGCTTGCTAGCCTACTTGTGGCGTTCTAGTTCATTTCAGCAGGCAGCTCAGGCGGCGGCATCTTGGGGTTGGTCATGTATGGAAGCCTTCATTAGCGACACATCAGGCTGGCTACTCCTGTTCCTAAGGGCAATTTTAATTTCTATCAGCTAAATGTAGCTGTTTTACAGCCACTGAGCCTGTAAAAGGGAGAACCGACTGGTGAACTAGACGTTGAATATTATATGCATCACAGCCGCTGGTTCTGCTTTTGTTTTTTTAGCATTGGGCGTGTACACACACACACACACACACACACACGCTGTCACCCCTGTCAGCTACCATCACTAATTCTGTGGGGGATCACTGTTCATAAATTAAGGGTGGAACGGTTCTGAAACCGAGAGCGAAACCGTGATACAAATGTTTACAATGTCGTATTGTAGTTCCAAAAGACAGAACCGCAATATTCCCCCAAACTCACCCTGCTACTGCAGGTGTAGCTTATTGAGCTGTCATTATGTTACTAAAATTCATTTCATTTCACAGTTAACACTATAACACATGTAAATGACAAAAATATTATTCTATTTAAATTAACTGCAACCTGTAAATTTGTAAATATTACGCACTACTAGGGCTGTGACGGTACACGTATTCGTCATGTATTGTTACTATTTCAGGTTTTTTTGTATTTTCAAATTACAAATTACTTGTATTTTAATTAAATAAATTTTGTCACACCAGTGTTTTGAATTTCTTGTGTTGCATTTAATGAGCAAGTATTTGTAATTCGTGAGAAGATACTTTTTGATGCATTTGTACCCATCTCCGGCCGATATAAAAAAAAATATAGGATCAAACCTTACATCTTCACGTCTTGTAAAAATCAGTATAAAATGGAAATGGGCTCATAATCTTGAACTTTCGAAGGAACCACCTTGGTCAGTCAAAACACAATCGACCATGAGGTAAAGCTATGTAATCTTTAAGGCATCCTTTCCCTTATTACAGCTAAACAATACAATAAAATAAAATAAAAGAGATACTGAACATAATGGTTTATCATGTGTCTTTAAAAGAAAATGCAAGATCCATCTGAGGCCCAAGCTGCTATCTGTAATAAAAACAGTTTCCAATATAGCTCTCAATTACTTGCCTATTTAAATTTTAAGTACTATTAAGCACATCTGGTAAATACAAGCTGACATTGCTACAACACTCTGTGCTATTGGAAAAAACATTCACATAATAAATGAATTATAATTTAACAACAAATATATTACATTAAGCAGTCCAGAAAAGAGAAATAGTCAAATACAGTATGTATACATGAATGCCGACCACTACCATGCTAGGTATTACCAAGTGACACAACTTTGTACTAGATACACAGTTATGGAATATAAATAGGTAGATATTACCCACTCACCGAGGCTGATGTCAGGCAAGGTCTGAACAAAGTTAAAATGCATTGTACACTGCATAAGTTGGTCAAAAACCACTTTTTGCACGACAGGAAATAATGTTGACGGTGGAGGTTTTCTTAGAATGCTGGACGAAAACCCCTAAGTCTGCAAAACACCTGCGGATGTGAAGCATTCAACCTATTAAATTCTTAATCTGTGTCAAATCCATGCTTTCGTTCTACTCATTAATGAAAACCTTGCAGGACTCTCATAGTAGAAAACATAACTGATGAGTGCTTAGAAACCAAAAAGATGGGGAATTTCATGTAAATTTGCTTTTCAAAATATCTATATAATTGTTTTGTAGGCCTACCTCACCGCACCATTGTGTTTGTGGGACAGGAAGAATAAGCTTTGTAGCATGAGGTTTTCATAAGGTATGTAGAACAGCTAGCTGATCTAGAGTGACTAGTTATATTCATGATCTTTACATTTGCTGTTTGGTTTGAGGTTTCTCAAGATGACTGTGTTGCTCTCTGAGTCTCTAAGACGAGCCTCGGTCCAAACAAACAGCTGCACGTTTGCAGGTTTAATGGGTCACTGACAGTGAACTGTCAGAAAACTCTTACATTAATGTTGTTTGTAGCTTGGGGATGTTCCTCGGGGTCCATTTCTGTACCTTAAAAGGTACATTTACCTACAGCTAAAGGTACAACTGGCAGACCCTAGAGGGTACAGCCCCAGTGACAAGTAATTATATCATCAAAAGTACAATTTGGTACTTTTCTTCTGACAGTGAGGAAGCTCTGTTGTATGAGATTACATCAGAGTTCTCCAGTTCTAGTCCTGGAAGGCCAGTCTGCAGATCTCTCTGTTTAAACTGTGCTGCAGACTGGGTCTCCAGGACCGCAACTGGGAACTGTGACTCACACACACTCACGTGTTTGTGTGGGTTTGAGTAACTGATTTTAAACTGTGGTTTATTTTCTTAATTTCATTTTGCATGTATTTTCTTTAGCTGGCACTTTTGTCCAAAGTGATGCACAAGGCAAATACATTTTTACCACCAGATTAATTTGCCAGTTTAACTCAGAGATGCTGTTTGTGAATATTTGTGCAGGAAAGCCACAAAACACAAGCGAAACATGCAAACCCAACACACAGAGCAGAGGAAGGATTTGAACCTCCAACACAGGAAGTGTGAGAGAGTGGGGGTACCCACTAAGCCAGGGGTGGGCAATCTTATCCACAAAGGGCCGGTGTGTATGCAGGTTTCTGGGATAACCTGTAGGTCAGCTGTTCAAACCCAGGTGTGAGGACTCCTCAGCCAATCAGTCTTCTAATCAGTAATCTAACGAGGGAGTTGCAGCGAAAACCTGCATATATAGCAGCCCTTTCTGGGTACGATTACCCATCCCTGCACTAAGCCATGGTACTTCCAGCTTTAAGCTACTTTTACCCAAGCAATTTAAAATTATGACCATGCCCTGCCAAAGCCCCCCTCCGTCCATCTTATATCCGGGGGGGGGGGGAGCTTATCCCAAGCATCACAGAGCACAGCTACACGCTGAACAGTCACAAGCCTTTCCTGTGTTATTAGATATTTATGTTTGTAGGTGATCAGCACGTGTCACTCTTGGAATTTGGCCCCAAATAAATGGGGAACCCGGCAATAGATCTTATATGACATTTATAATAAAACATAAGATGTATAACAAATAAATCTGAAGCTTTTAAATATGCAATTACAATCTGAAATTCCCTGCTGTATTCCCTATTGATTTTGTGTATATAGTAAAATGCTCACTGTCATGCTTTCAGCTTGTGAAGTCAAACAGGGCCAAATCGGAATTGTCCATTTCAAGTCCATGTCAAAGAAGGCAGCTGGGAACTCCCATCAAGGACATAGTGTATGCTGGTTCTTTCCTCATTACTCTGCCATTTGTTATCCTTATTTGTTTATTCTTGCTGGCATTTGATTTGCGGTATTTCGGGATGTAGGAATACTTATTTAGCTAGGGCCAAGTCTGGGATAGGCATCCGTGCTCTTGTGTTGTTGTTCCTGGCGTCGTGTCCAAGGTGCCTCCCTGGCATAGGCCCTGGGCTCCCCAAGATTGTTCCCAGACTCACTGCAACAATGCATGAAAATAAGCTTATATGAATGATGGATGGATGCATGGCCATTAATTATGGGGGGTGGGGAGTTCTAACTCCCCCAATAATCATAACCAGGCAATACAAACCCCCCCCCCCCCTCCCAAATAATCATATTGTCATGATCAATGGGTGTGGACCTCAATCCCCTAGTGTTCAATCCAAAGTCACACCCTTGGCTGAATGTATCCTATTTGACAGCAGTATCGTTTGTTACTGTCATATATAAAAGCTCAGTACTGGGCTAAGGAAAAGAACTTGCAAGGTCCCCACTATGTTGGGGGAGGGGGGGCATTTCAGTGACAAACCAAAGTCAGTTAAGTTGTGTTATGGAGTCTCTTCATATACCCAACAATAAGGTTACTGGGGATGCGGAAAAAGCATGTACACCTACTCATACTCATCTATCCATCCATCCATCAAGCCCATCCCAGTCATCACAGGACACAGGGCTGGGGTACACCCTGGATAGGATGTTATTCCATCACAGGGCACACTCATACACAAACATATTCTATGAGCAATTAAGAGAGACTTCAATTAGCCGAACTGAGGAAATCTGTGTAACCTGGGGAGAACATGCAAGCTCTTCACATGGAGCAGGGGTGGTAATGAGGCAAAGCTACCAGTTTACATTTCCCAAATGCTTGATGACCGTATCTCCTTTCTTTGTCACAACTTGTCTTCTATACCAGAACTAATCTTAAAAGTTACAGGTGCTGTAAAGTTATTAAATCTTTCACTCGGACCATAGTATGGACATTAAGTTGTGCTGTGGGACATTGATCCACCCCCTGTTCAGGGCAATTACTGGCCATTAGCTGTGCCTGGTTAGCGGAGTTCATTTTCAGGCCTACCCTGAGGAAGCTGAGTGGTGATGATCGCCCCCTGCTGGTGCACGGTGGATTTTCAGCGGGCTTTTGCTTCACAATACTATTATGATGTATCTAGTCGTGAAATGGAGAAGGTCTATGTAACCTTACCCTGAAACAGAAGTAGCTGCCTCCAAGTCTTAGTTATATTTATTTTTAGTAGTAGTACTATTATCATAATATTTCATTATTATTACTAATACTTTTATTACAATTACTATTGTTATTAATTATTATTATTATTACTGCTGTGTGTGATGTCTCCTCACACTGAACCATCTGTGTGAAAATATTGTATTTTTTAATGCCCCTTCTTACTCTGCTCTTACGTTGTGTGTATTGTCTGATCCTGGGTATAATCTGTCACTGTTTTCTTTCCAGGTGTCAGTCATGGTTGCCAATCTCTCATCACATGTGGTTTCTATGCATCTTGTTTCCAAGTTTGCCCTTTTCTTAGATGGCGTATTGCATCTTGTTTTGTGGTTTTGGTTAAGCCTCGCTTCACTTCTGTGTCTGTGGTCTTGGTTAGCCGGAATTCCACAGCTAGTGTGCCGTGCAGCCAGCGTCTTATCTAGGGTTTGAGGTGTTTGTACTTCAGTCATATCACCTGGTCCCTGTGCCCTACTTTCTCTTATGCTCCATGCTTGAGTTTGCTTCTCATACACCTCATCCTGGAGCAGCTCATCCTGGAGCAGCTCATCCTGGAGCAGCTCATCCAGCCGGCGGCCCCAAGTCCCACTGGTTACCGGTGTGCTGTGGTCTCAGGGATCATAGGGCGGAAAACCAGAATTTCTAAACGGACAGCCAGGTTCAGAATACTTTATTTTGGACTCTCTTTGTTGGTGACGTTAATGCATGTGCTGTACCTAAACTTTCTGAATTTTAATAATGAGGGATATAAAAGAATTTTAAACCACTACATACAGCATAAAATGCTGTGAAAACCGCCTATAAGAAGAAGGAAATATGGTACCACCGGGACATTGTAAAAATCAGGATGTTCCTCCAGAATTAACGACCAGGAAGGAGAAAGCTTATCAGAGGGGCTACCAAGAGCCAAACAGCTATCTTAAAGGAGTTGCAGAATTTTATGGAAGTAACTGGCCACTCCTATCAGTTCACACAATTTCTTAGCTGTGGGGAAGCATGTCTTTCCTTCATAAATCAAAACCTTACATAATAACCTTGTTCCCGTACCTTGGCCTTCCCTCCAGACACTCACGCCCTCCCTACATCCCACAAACAGGTAAACCGTGGGAAAATGTCATGCTCAGATGAGACCAAGGAAGAAATTTTTTACCTTAATTTCAAAAATTATGCTAGTTACAAACCCACAACAGCACATTACAACATAAACACGGTAACTAATATCAAAGCTGTGGGAGCATTATACCGTGGGAATGTCTGTGGATACTGGGGTTCTGGATAGAAGGGATATTTAATAGCTCAAAATACTGTATCTAAATATTTTGGTGCAAAACTTGCAGCCCTCTGCAAAGAAGCTAAAACGAAAGAACAATTTCAATCTTCAGCTTGACAATAACTGAAGAGTAATGTCAGCTGAACAAAGGAAAGCTTAATAAAGGAAGATCAATGTCCTGGAATGTCCCAGGCAGAAGCCAGAATTCACTCCTACTCCTACAGAACAACAGTGGACTGATGGCTGTCCACATACAAAGAAAAATGGACTACAATAGCAAAGATGAATACCTACCCAAACAATCTTACTGCTGGAATCAAACCAAAAAATGTTAAATGGCATGGACACTTAAATACATTTTCAATGTGTTTTTTCCTTAAAATGATCCATTGGTACACCGACCACTGGCAGTGTGATGTCATCATTGCTGCAGGAACTGGTTAACCTGCTTCTGTAGCTGAGCTGTGAAATCCTGTTTTTTTTAAATTGCTTCGTTTTGTTTTATTTCAGTTCAGTTTATTTAACTGGTCTTAAAGTCTCAAAAAGCCTAAGATTTACAGTATATGTGTGTAATATATTTGTTTATGTTTCAGATGTTAAAAGACAATTTGCTACTTACTTTTAACATTGGAATTCTGATCACGGGTAGAATGAGCGATTGTGGGTCAGCGAGTGCAGCAGGAGGGAGAGCGACAGAAGGGGGAGGGAAAGAGATAGAGGTTAGCAAATTCTATCTATAAGTTAATATCTGTCCTTAATGCTATTCATAACAAAAAAAAATGGTCAAATGATGGATAACGGAGATACAGGGATACAGAAGTGATTACAAAAGACGAAGACTTACATGTGTGATTTTCAGAATGTGCAGTACAGTATGTAGTATGTCAGACGTGGTCTCATTCTGAGGTACGAGCATCACCACTGTCGGCATCTTAGGGGCCCACAGTCAGTTCTAAAAAAAGTTATTGGCGGTATGCATAGTATTGGGGAAATGATGAGATTGAAACTGCATGACTAACTGCAAAAAAGGATGCATTGAGTATAGATATGTAATTTCTTTATTATACCACAGGAGGGAGCCAAAACATTTTTTCTTACGAAATTTCATGTCTTTCAAAACCATCTGTCCATCTATCTTCCAACTGCTTATGCTGAGCAGGGTCATAGGGGGCCCTGGAGCACATCCCAGGCAGGATATGAAACCAGGCTGTTGTATACCCTGGATGGGGTTCCAGTTCATCACAGGGTACATACACACAGGCATATACTCACAATCAGGGTATACATATACACAGCCATTTACTCACAATCAGGGTATACATATACGCAGCCATTTACTCACAATCAGGGTATACATATACACAGCCATTTACTCACAATCAGGGTATACATATACACAGCCATTTACTCACAATCAGGGTATACATATACAC